GACTTCCAATGCAAGACATCTGAAGTGGTTGCTATTAACTTGCGTGATTATATCGAGGCTGATGAATGCGTGGATGCATGTGGAGTCGATAGGAAATCTGTCGGGATCTCATCAGACACCTTCCTCGATTCTCAGTTCACTGCCAAGCTATGCTCACCACAGTGTTACCAGAACTGTCCCAACATTGTTGATCTTTATTACAATTTGGCTCTCGGAGAAGGTGATCTTCACAAGCTTAACTTGCTAAATAGCCAACAAATTTATTAATTTTAGTCTTCCACACAACCACTCTCACGAACAACCTGTCGACAATTTTCTATTGAAGTCATGACACGTACTGACGTACACAAATTTCATAAATGGGAACCTGATGCGGTGATAGTTTGACTTAGCTATTATTGTATTTGCTAACAATTGACAGGAGCATTTTTATGTGATCTATGCAAATCTCAACGAGCAAATTCACGTCTCTCAATGGCTCAAATTCAAAGTTTTGGTGCTGCTCTTGGCCCTATTTCTGCTGCTGCTGGTCCTATGTCTGCTGCTTCTCCTTCTCCATCTCCATCTTCATCTCTTGATTGTGCTTCGGCTCAAATGTAAACACGTCCCTATCTAGTATGCAGTACTGGATTGGACTACATAATATAACGAATATGATTTTAGTTGTTATTACTTTTTTTTTCATTTCCACTGCTATTCAATCCTTTTACCAAACATGCCATATATGTATAAAGTAATATCATTTGATAGGGCAGTTGTAATTATTTTTCCTATTTCAAGAAAGTGGACAATATCTGATTATGAATACGTTCTTCTCGATTTTTTTTTTCAGTTACTTGATCAAACAATTTATACAGGATTGTATGAATTTAAACTTTTTTTCCTGACAAAAAATTGAGATTGGGGAATTCAATAAAACAAAGAAATATAAAAAAAAAAAATCACATACGTTACAATTTGTGTAAAGTTATGAATTTCTACATCAATGTAATAAACCAAATCAATGGACCTCCAACAGCCAGTGAAAGACTTTGTTACGCGAACCATAATAAAACATCGACGAGACGTATACAGAATGCGCGAAGGGAACCAAAATTCAAGAGGTCGACATAAGACAAAGCGATTACTCTTTCATATAGACTGGCTACAGGCTATCAACACACCCATTATGCGTGATATATGTAACTAAATCAGTTATGAAGCAACCAACAATGAGCTGCCTCCCGTCATTCTCTCATAATGATCAAAATGCCCCAAGGCTCCAAGGGAAATCTATAAATACCCCTTCATTTGAAGAAGAATTCATGCCATTCAAATCTCTCTCTCTCTTTCAAGTCTCAACTAGCTATTTTGCTTCTTGGTCCTATTTAAGCATCCAAATTAGTGAGTTTAGGAGTGAAAATTGTAGTTAGTGTAAGTATTATGCCCTAGGTCCAATCAACTTTGGACATAAATACTTTTATATATAATTAATGCAATTAAATGGCAGA